GGCGGCACTGTGACGTCACCAAACTCTCTGCTAATCGGTTGAGCTCCTTCTTGCTTAAAGATACTAAAGGCGGTACTCTTGACTCTTGACGATCATGGAACGTCACCAAGCTCCCTACTAAAGGCGGTACTCTTGCCTCTTGACGATCGTGGAACGTCACCAAGCCCTCTACTAAAGGCGGTACTGTGGACTCTTGACGATCATGGAACGTTACGTCACCAAACTCTCTGCAAAAGGCGGTACTGTTGACTTGGAACGTAACCAAACTCTCTACTAAAGGCGGCACTGTTACGTCACTAAACTCTCTGCTAAAGGCGGCCCTGTTACGTCACCAAACTCTCTACTAAATGCGGTACTGTTGACTTGGAACGTAACCAAACTCTCTACTAAAGGCGGAATTGTTGACTCTTGACGATCGTGGAACGTCGCCAAACTCTCTGCTAAAGGCGGCCCTGTTACGTCACCAAACTCTCTACAAAAGGCGCCACTGTTACGTCACCAAACTCTCTGCGAAAGGCGGCACTGTTACGTCACCAAACGCTCTGCTAAAGGCTGCACTGTTACGTCACCAAACTCTCTGCAAAAGGCGGTACTGTTGACTTGGAAAGTCACCAAACTCTCTACTAAATGCGGTACTGTTGACTTGGAACGTAACCAAACTCTCTACTAAAGGCGGAACTGTTGACTTGGAACGTCATCAAACTCTCTGCTAAAGGCGGAACTCTTGACTCTTGAGGATCGTGGAACGTCACCAAGCCCTCTACTAAAGGCGGTATTGTTGACTCTTGACGATCATGGTACGTCACCAAGCTCTCTACTAAAGGCGGTACTCTTGCCTCTTGACGATCGTGGAACGTCACAAAACTCTCTACTAAAGGCGGTGCTCTTGACTCTTGACGATCGTTGAACGTCACCAAACTCTCTGCTAATCGGTTGAGCTCCGTCTTGCTTAAAGATACAATCAGTCGACATTTTTTGTACTTAAGTTGACATTTTAGGATTTCTATATCGGTATATATTTTCAAATATGTGGTTATACATGTATGGACCTGAAAGGTAATATTAGCCTCGATTGATATATTTACATCAATATAAATCCATAATTAATACACACAAATGTATTTGTTTTAAACTGTAGAAAATGCTTCATAAAATAATGTTTGAATTAAATAACAAGTAAAGAGTTTGATCACTATCCTCTATAAAGTTATTTCATCAGTGAAAGTTTCGGGTGATATTACAATGTATTTCCTCATTTCAACAGAACAGCTGATATATATGTAATATATGGCTGTGAAGTCGGTGCCCGACATGTACTGGAACGTGTGATATACAACCACAACTGACGCCCCAGGCCACTGATGATTTTGCGGTTTAATTTGTACGTCACAACATGTTGTATAAACCATATTTAAACGGCGACACATTTGTTTTAATTCGCTCTTAAAACGCTTTGTCTTTGTTAAGATTAAATCAACTATCAGTAAAGATTCTTTGTCTTGTACATGTGATCACCATATAGTCTGAGTGATTCACTATGGACTTTTAACTATATGTGAGTACCATCTACTGTACAGTATTAAATTACAGCAGCGAATTATCTATTAAGGACGAATATTTTTAATGGAAGTTTGCAACACAGTTCCATTCAAATATATGCCCTGATGAACGAGTGTGTGTGGTAGTATACAGTAGGTTTTACTGGTGTTGATATCTGGTCTAGTAGTAATAGTATTACACGTGCATCTATAATTTATAATAGTGATAACACGCTGATATCACGTGCTGATTAGGCGGGAGGTCATTAACTGAGCTTAAAAAAAGAGTTTAGTAGCTAGTTTTACTTTACGGTACGGTTGTTCCAGCTTGAGAACAGGGCGTTCCTGGTCTCGAGTCGGTTCAGTGTCTATATACGTAAATCACATGAGGGATATCACAATTTCTATATTTATAAGTTATGAAAAGCGTGGCCTAAATTTTGATTTGTTTGTAGATAAAGGTAACTTGGAGGACAAACTTACTTTAATAGCAGGCGTAACCGGTTAGTTTAGTTTGTGTTGGCGAGAATTACAGGAATACCTAGTCTGTTAGCTCACTAGCTATTTACAGGACTCCGAGCGATCTATAAAGTAAATGTTCTACACATAGGTATATTGTATATATACCTCCCATTATACTGGATCTACAGTCTGTATCAGAATACAAATATTTGTCACCATGATTGAATGCCTGCTGAACGATCATGATATAAAACACACTTGATCTGTTTCTGACGACTAAATGATATATCGATAGTCATTATATGTCTGGCAAATAGTTTGTGACAGTTCATTCTTTATGTATTTGAAGATATTTATTGATTTGTTACGGTTAAGATCATAGGAGTGTATTGCTAAACGGAAGTACATCCCTAGTTGAAAATCCAATGTAGGGAGACAGTATCACAATTTCTGCATATTCTAATGTTTAATATTAAACTGATGAATATTGTATGTTTATTATTGACAGAACAGTGTGTTCTTTCAATACTAAAGTATTTCAAAGCAATCCAGGCATTAATTCAGTTGTGTTTTTAATTAATGAGTCACATGCGTCCGTTGTTCTGTACTTCAGGAAACCGGCTACCTATTTAACTATACTGTGAAGTTTTTCAAGAACGGTAACTCTTACCTGCAATTAATATGTGTATATTGTTTTAAAATGTCAATTTTTAATCGTTTATAGATAATTAATTTTACACAATTTCAGCATTTTTAAGCCGCTCCTGGCGAGAGCCGGGCGGCTTATTAATTCTGTCCAGAGAACGAAATGACGGACCAACTTCCGTTCGGGGTGCGTGCGCATAATTCAGTCGTGCATGCTTCCGCTATATAGTTTCGTTATTGTAAATAGAAAGTAGAATCTCTGACACTAACCTGTGGGTTACATAAAGTCTTATGATACTCTTCTCCAAATAATAATCCATACTTTAAATAATTGCTGAAAACAAAATGTTATCTCCGGTGCATTCCTACGAGTGTTGTAGTGGTGAAATTCGTGCACTAGCTTTGAGCGTTTTAGCAACTCGGATTGCGGTCTGAGGAGTGTTACGCGTGTGAAACACATATGATACGAGAAAGCACATGTGAAGACTTTCAAGCATTAACGCTTTCTGTAGAAGGAAGAAGTAAATGTATATACCTATAAACCGTATGAGTGATGAAGTATAACCTCTATTTTGATGTTTGAAACGGGAACGTAATATGACATATCGTGCTTAGGATGATAACGGTAATGGCTCTGAGACGAGACGATATGTGAACTGTGTATGTTTATCAAACATTTCTGTAACACAGCATGCTATTTCTTGTGTATTGATTTATGAAAGTGCAACAATTTAAGAACATGACACAATAGCCGCGCCGTGTCAAAATAGTATCCAATTCGGTGTAAGGGAAATAACTCTTACGTTGTTAAAGTCACATTGAGAAATATAATTCAAATATATTCCAAGAACATTTGTGAAATTTTGTATATTCAATGACGGTAAATATAGTCGCTACATATATTAATAATTATATATTGATATGAATAAAAAATAAATAAAAATAAAATAGAACAATGTCTCTTTTCTCCATGTTTTCCCACTACTGTTAATTAACCTTCATTTCACAAGCACAAAATGCACCTATTCTTTATTATCCATTCACCGATTGCCATTCTGCACGTAAATGCTCATGTCACATCATTGGAGGATGCTATTTAATGAAAATTACAACAATGCGTCACACTTAAAGAGGGTGAAAAAAAGAGGAGAGGGAGAAATGTTTTTAAGGCATCATTTAAGAGGCGATTGATTTTGAAAATATCAAAGGCAACATCATCACATGACCTGATTTTCAATTAGCAGAATACAGAACACATATCTGAGGTATTATAGTAGATATTGATGCTCAATGTGTTGCTGAAGCAACTAAATTTAAAGTAGTGAGCGGCTGTAATGTCACACTGACATAATTCTAGTTGAAATTGATATACATTAATGCAATACTAATCTATGTCAGTATCATTTTGATTGACATTATTTTGCAAAACATTGCATGCGTGTTTCATTTTTTTTTCCAAAATTCACTCATTTTTATATAGATTTCCATTTAAAATCCTTACAATTCTGACAACCTAAATATTTTTTGGTGGCAGAAAATTTTCTTTACTTCATAGCAATATAACTACAAAATTTGAAGAAATTCTACTCAGAAATGGCGACACAATCCTATTACCTCAAGTCCGCCTAGTTTTTTTCGCATTAGTGACTCGAAATTTCAAAATACTACATTAACACAGAATTTTGTGCTAGTAAGTCGAAAGGTCGAGTAAGTATCTCGAAAATTCGAGTTAGTGAGTCGAAATTTCGGGTTACTTACACAACAAAGCGAAATGTTGTTTTTTCTACGTGGCCCTGATGCTCTCCCGTAGATAACTACAAACACCGATTTGTAATAGTTTAACTGTAAAACATCATTTATGGCCGGGTGGTCGACACTTAAGTCTTCTATTCAGACGACCAGGGTTTGATTCCTTAATTGTCGAAGAACCGATATTCAGAGAAAGTGTTTACAACCTACATGTTCAGTATATGACGTATAAAATTGTCTGTGGTGCATACAGTGTTGGTGCTGTAGTGGCACTATGAAGGAAAGGTGCCACTGGAAGGATGGTCAAACTGTAAAACAAAAAAATAATGAATACACCCCACCTCACAAACTGCCACGCATACATGTGGAAGTATTAAACCAGGTGGCATATGACATGCGAAATCTCAATAGGGGGATTTAACAAAAATATCGTAATCATTATAATTTTAATAATAATGCATCGGTATTTGACACACATTTCTTCATACAATGACATCTAATGGCAAATTCGTGTTTGAATGAAAATATGAAATGATTAAATTATATTGAGCGTCTAATTAATAATGTTAGAACAAGTTATTTTTATGTTCACTTCTTCTTTTACAGTGTCGGCATATACATCGACTGAATGGTACCGCTGCCCATTAAATCTGGCACGGAATGGCTACCTCAGGACATACAACGAGCACTGTTACGAATTCATCGATAACGAGGCGTTCTGGGGCGTGGCGAGAACAGCGTGTCAGAACAAGGGAGGTCACCTGATCGAGATTAGAGACTCCAGTACTCAAGCCTTTGTGGAGAGCAGTCTCAGAGATCTGAACTGGGCAGCGAGGAGGAATGGTCTGTGGATCGGCGCCTCCGATGTAGCTAACGAGGAGACCTGGAGATGGGTCTCAGGTAGGCTACTGTTCCCGTCACTGATCAATCTCTCCACAGAGTCATTGTTCCGCACACTCACTTACACCCCTGACTGTCGACGGCCAAATGTCAAGAATCTTTGCAAAGTCTTGACAATCTCATTGTGCTAAAGTTTTTGTGTCTTCCAGCAGTGTTTTACATATCCCTAATATGTCACAGCAAGACACCCGTGGTTGCGTCATTATGTAATACGGCCTAATATCTACATACATCACATACAAAACAACGTAAGAAATTATTTTTTGAAAAATGCAAATGACTTTGCACCAGACTTGGTTTTAAAGGACAAACAGGTTGACCTTTTAGAATTTCTATGACAGGCAAAGTGGCATTTTGATGAACTGATCTTTTGATGACATAGTCAATCTTGTCCAATGCCGCCATATTGTACAGTTTGACAGCACATGACAAACTGTAATTGTAATGCAGACTTTATAAGTATAAGGAAGGACAACTTTGGGTAAAGATTGGTCATTGATGTCATGTTGGGTTTTATTGTGACGTGGTTGTACATGTATGATTTTTGTTGCTGGTGATATTTTTGTTGTTTTTCTATTTGTCCTCTCAGTGTCGTCTCAAAAACATTTCACCTCAGGATTTCTCCCAAAACGATATTCTTCCTCGTGACAAAATTAGGGGCGTCAATATCGACTTTGTAATAACGCAAAATGCCAAACAACTTTTGTACTCAGTCCAATGTATGTTTCAGGTGACGTTTTAACTTGGGGGAACTGGGCTAGTGGTCAGCCAGAATGGTGTTTTTTCCCCTGCGTTGAGGATTGTGCCAACTTAAGACTGGACGACAACTACAAGTGGCACGATAAACCGTGTGATAGTTTTAATTATCACTACACATATATCTGTCAGTATGGTAAGTTAAACACTGAAGAAGGATTTATTGATACAACAAACTATCAAACGTATTCACGATAATTTCAAAAGAGTAACAAAAGTGAAATCTAAATTATTTGGCTCAGGTAACTTAATGTCACTTCTCTCGACATTCTGTCTGGTAAAATTAGTATCATATCATAACAGTTTTATGATTGTTTCAGATATGGGTCCAGTATCAACAACTACTACAACAACAACAACTACAACTACCACGCCCACTACCACAACAACCACACCCACAACTACAACAACCACGCCTACTACCACAACAACGACACCCACAACTACAACAACCACGCCCACAACCACAACAACCACGCCTACTACCACAACAATGACACCCACAACAACTACGCCCACCACCACAACAACCACTCCTACCACCACAACAACGACACCAACAACTATAACAAGCACGCTCACAACCACAACAACCACGCCTACTACCACAACAACCACACCCACTACCACATCTATAACGTCCAGAGGCGGGGCTTGGACAGGAGGTCCAGGCGTAGCACAAGGTAGGGTTAACTCTTACCCTAACCCATACTCCTGGTGCCTCAAAGTCTTAATAATGTATGATTAGGGTTAGATTGCAGAACCCACTATCAATAGATATTGACATACAATTTGTAATATTCTTGAATTTGGAATTAGCATGTCCTTCCTTACTTACAGAGATCCCCCTTATACAATATGCTGTAGTTTAATCAGCTTATCTTATTGTGGCAGTAACTTAAACGGGGTCTCACGATGATAACGAAGTAGTTTGATTTAAAAACACGTTATTAATAAACACTTTGCATACTTAGTAAAAAAGAATAGATTGATCGATGATATAACGCTGTCTTCATGGCCGACATATCGCTTTAGGTTCAAAGGTTAAGGTAGGCGAGGATAACTTTATTTCTAAGAGTTTACAAGTCGAGATGAATAGGATACTAAGTATAACGTTGATGTTTTTGTGTATTCGTAAGAATAGATGTTGACCATGACCTACTCTGTTGTGGTGACACCCTGTACGAGCGCTGATCCCCATACCCAAACCCCGCCATCATTCTCGTTATAAAATACGGGGAATATTAAAAAACTAAATATCAATTTCCAATATTAGCCTATAAAGGTATAGTAATATAATTTTCGATGACAAATACCAAAATTCGTTATGTTACACTGTAGCATCAAGTGTTTGTCCTCAGTCACAAAGTTACATTATATTATAGAATATCATTGTTTTGTATTACAGGTCAGGTATCGGACACGTTCGATATTGGTAAGTTATACAAATTTAAGTATATATCTGTACAAAACCCACCGGTTATTTGAAACACGTTATAACATGATAATCGCTATGAAACGGGTAATGTTTGATCCAAATACAAAATCTGGAGCTAACAGCATGAAATGGTGTCTTTACAATAGACTAAATAAACCAACAACACATAATAAAGTAAGTCTCAGTAACAAAAACCTATCAAGCTAGAGTACAGCTAAAGACTCTGAACACAGAAAGTATCAATATTTTGTTACAAATACTCTGATTGGCCTGATTGTTTGTTACAAATACGCTGATTGGCCTGATTGTTTGTTACAAATACTCTGATTGGCCTGATTGTTTGTTACAGATACTCTGATTGGCCTGATTGTTTTTTTACAGATACTCTGATTGGCCTGATTATTTGTTACAGATACTCTGATTGGCCTGATTGTTTGTTACAGATACTCTGATTGGACTGATTATTTGTTACAGATACTCTGATTGGCCTGATTGCCGGACTACTAGTGGCCGTCTGTATTCTCCTTGCTCTGGTTGGATTCCTGCTGATGAGAAGGTAATCTTACTAGTACATGTTATCAGCGTGGGGTTGTCTATGCTTTGTCTTAACCATCATTGGTCTGTTTAGATAAAAAGTCCCATAACAAGTACATGTAACGATACCTTTACCTTCAAGGGTAAACGTTTGTTTTTGGTAACTTGTTTTATCAGATCTTCTGGACGTTGTAAAATCATTCCTGTATTTCCTTTTGTTTACCTATTCGAGAATGTTTAGAAAAGCAAATGTATCAGGTCAATTTGTCCAGTGGTTAATGTACAATATACACGTCAAAAACACGTGTATAGAATTAAAATCGAGCTTACCATTTGTGCCTCAAGATATTGTCATAACAAACCTTGTTGAGTAAAACTGTAAAAGGAGAAAGAAATGTAACGACCATGGCGGGGTTCGCAACCGGGACCCTCTGAACTCTAGATGGACGCTCTAACAATTGAGCAACCTGGTCGCCGACGATCGATCGAGTCCAGTCCCGCTACAAAGCCTACATAGTGTTTGTCAGAACTATTTCCAATACAGCTAATAATTGTTATGCTACTGTAACTATTCGAATCATTTAGGTCATTACAATGTACTACATAATGTATACGTACGTAAACGGTGAAATATAATAATATATGTCTTATTGATCTTGATGTGTATCAGTTCAAGTGATGGAATAAGTTGATAACTTCATATTACTAGAACTATTAAAGTAATGTCCTTTTACTTTCAGATGTAACTCGGCTAAGAAGGAACGTGACAGTATTCCGAATGGATTTGATAATGTTGGTTATTCCGTGAGCTCAGATCACGTGTCTATATCTCAACGCGCGCAAAGGACTGATGCAAGAGCTGCTGAAAATGACTACGTGACCGCTTCTGATGTACCTACGTCACAGAATCATGTGCGTAATGTATACGACAACACACATTACGACTTGCCAAGAAAGATAAATATCAGTAAGGTTAATTCCGGGAAAACTTTCAGCAAATCAGATTATCTGGATTCATTACCTGACCTTCAAGTTGACCTCTGCAGCAAGAAAGGAGCGTGTGGCGGAGATTACGACACTTTAAATACATCATATGAAGACGACGATGACGATTCTGTATTCAAAGAGGCTGTTGACCAGTATTATGTCGAAGTACCTGACGTTCAAAAACCTATCAGCGACACCAATGCGTCAACTATGACGTCACAAAAATCTAGCCACTACGATGATATCGATATGAGCAGAGAAAACACCATGAACAGCGAGACTGAGAACTATCTACGAGCGTATGACCCTGATCACCTGGCGAAATCACCCATTGAATTCTTGAACAATTTACAGGATAAAAAGTAATTATTTTCAGAGTTATCTCCCTTGGACTGTTCGGCGATCCATTCTTTTCTGTCTCTTGAGTCATCCTATTTTCCGATCATAAAACGGAACATTTCATTATCCGATGTTTTCTGGACTTTACATGCTCATTATATATACACACTACCATACAGTAATGGTATCTCACAGAACACTGTCATACAGTAATGGTATCTCACAGAACACTGTCATACAGTAATGTTATCTCACAGAACACTGTCATACAGTAATGGAATCTCACAGAACACTGTCATACAGTAATGGTATCTCACAGAACACTGCACAAATAAACTCAACCAGTTACTTCCTAACGCAGCAGTGTTTTAAAGCCAGACTGTATACTTTTACAAATCATCTGCTAATATTGCAGGACCTGGAATTTGAATAATTAATATCACGATAAGCACGCAATCTGTGTAAACTAGACTTGTAAATCCGCTCCTCTAGATAAACTCCAAAGCCATACTTATGTCTTTACATGTTAAAAGACATTATCTTAATGTTGGAAAGAAAACAAATTCAAGTTTGCAATTCACATTTGTTAATCGTAGTTCAGAGAAATCAATATACGTATTGGAGTTATCGTAGAGGGGCGGGATTACAAGTCTAGTTTAAATTAGATCGGATTAACACCTACGTATCATGCACATCTAAAAAAAACATGTATGTTATTGTTTCATACTCATTGATCATGTCTCTTAAATAGTAGCACATAGGAGACATCAGACAAGCTTCGTTCCCTGTAGTTCTCGTATAAGGTAGGTGTAGACGCAGAGAGGATGTCAACAAAGTATGATGTAACACATGATTTCCCTACATAATAGGCTTAGGTCAAACGATGAAGCGTTGTATAATATTGACTTTGCGGTCATTAATTACTCCAAACTTAAGTCTGTATTTATGCTGTCTACGTTAACACACCTGTACAACATATCATAGATACAGTACTTGGTGTATTGACCACGTTTTGTCAGTGAGATATTTGACAGTATCAACTTGATATAAAGCTGATATTTTTCACTCTGTGATAGTTTTTAAGTAATAGACGTAATCTCTGTTACATCTCAATACTTTATTTCTGGTCTTTACACATTCTTTTAGTAAAAATGCCGAAATGTCAGCAAAAGCGTAAATCGAAATTAATGATTATGAACGAGGATATATTCTAAAAGTATAAAGAGGTCGGAGAGGTAACCGTCTGCTGCGTCACTGGCGCCATCAGCTTTGCTCATCTAGGTCAAATCTAAGTAATGTAACGTCCTCAACGCGAGAACAAGGGAAGCAACAACGAAAAATACCAGGCGCATTAATGAGTATAATCAAAATAATCGAGCCTCATATTTTTTTCTCCAAATATTTATCCCCCCCGCCATTTTTTTCATAAATATGTATATATTTGTATTGCTTCCAAGCACAGTTATATATATACCTATATAGATATTTTGATAGGGGGTGCCAGGATTGGAGAGCCCTGGAGTCAGCCCCTCACCAATATGGTGTCCTCAAGTAGGAGGGTTCTCATTCAACATTCATCAGCCATTCTCTTCTCCATTTAGTTTATTGTCGAGCCTCATATCACTCAAAGAAATAGAATATTTCCTGATAAGATCATGATGACGACCATAAAACTTGTCCGTAAATTTGTGTCCATTTCGACCGAATGTTTTCTGAGATTGTCTGTCAGTAGACAACATCTATCACACATATTACGAGCAAATATTGAATCCACAGCGGTATGTTAACACCATATGTAAGGGAAGCAGGGATATCAATATCATGAAAGGGAAATTTCTGGATCAGAAAAATTAAACTTTGACGCTTATCGTACATCTAAGTAAAAAGCCAACCCTTTGGTCGTTCTGTACAGTGTAAGATCGAAGAAACAGGCTGATGTACGGGAGTTCCTTTTTAAAAAAAAATTGACATCGTCGATATATCTTAATGTGAAATAGAAGGAATTGCCAAGGTTTTTTGTTTAAAATCGGTACGTTCCCATCAGAATGCCTACAGCTTGCTGGAAAATATTGCCAACGAATTTTACAAAGACATTGTCAACCAGGAACAACAATTCTCATGATATCACCTCACTATATTTCATATTGTCTATGTCGTGTTTTCCACACAAAATATTATCCAAAATAGTAGAGAACTATTTATTTATATCGTCGCTCGTCTTTCTGAGAGTAGAAGGCTCTATTAATGACGGAACGCGTCCCTTAGATTAGCATCAAGTTTGGTAGTGTTAAGAGTGCAAAAGTCAACTGTGCTGATAGGAGAATCATTTTTGAAGGGAGGATGCTCAAGGTTAAAGGGTATTTTGAGTTGTTCAAAATCCACATATCATTTATTACACTTCTAGAGAAAGCAATACGGGAGCATTTGTGAGGAGTAAATTCGTGAAGAGCGGTTATATTTGTGAGGATAACGTTCGTGAAGTGCGGTTATATTTGTGAGGATAACGTTCGCGAAGTGCGGTTGTATTTGTGAGGATAACGTTCGCGAAGTGCGATTGTATTTGTGAGGATAACGTTCGTGAAGTGCGGTACTATTTTTGAGGATAACGTTCGCGAAGTGCGTTGAATTTGTGAGGATAACATTCGTGAAGTGCGATTGTATTTGTGAGGATAACGTTCGTGAAGTGCGGTTGTATGTGTGAGGATAGCGTTTGCGAAGTGCGATTGTATTTGTGGGGATAACGTTCGTGAAGTGCGGTTGTATTTGTGAGGGTAGCGTTCTTGAAGTGTGGTTGTATTTGCTAGGGTTACGTTTGTCAAGTTCGGTTATATTTGTGAGGATAACGTTCGTGAAGTGCGGTTATATTTTTGAGAATAACGTTCGCGAAGTGCGATTGTATTTGTGAGGATAACGTTCGTGAAGTGCGGTACTATTTTTGAGGATAACGTTCGCGAAGTGCGGTTGTATTTGTGAGGTTAACGTTCGTGAAGTGCGGTTTGTATGTGTGAGGATAGCGTTTGCGAAGTGCGGTTGTATTTGTGAGGATAACGTTCGCGAAGTGCGGTTGTATTTGTGAGGATAACGTTCGTGAAGTGCGGTTGTATTTGTGAGGGTAGCGTTCTTGAAGTGCGGTTGTATTTGTGAGGGTTACGTTTGTGAAGTGCGGTTATATTTGTGAGGATAACGTTTGTGAAGTGCGGTTGTATTTGTGAGGATAACGTCCGTGAAGTGCGGCTATATTTGTGAGGGTAACGTTTGTGAAATGCGGTTATATTTGTGAGGGTAACGTCCGTGAAGTGCGGTTGTATGTGTGAGGATAACGTCTGTGAAGTGCGGCTATATTTGCGAGGGTAACGTTTGTGAAGAGCGGCTATATTTGTGAGGGGAACGTTTGGGAAATGCGGTTATATGTGTGAGGATAACGTCCGTGGAGTGCGGGTGTATTTGTGAGGGTAACGTTTGTAAAGTGCGGTTCTCTTTGTGAGGGTAACGTTTGTGAAGTGCGGTTGTATTTGTGAGGGTAGCGTTTGTGGAGTGCGATTATATTTGTGAGGGTAACGTTTGTAAAGTGCGGTTGTATTTGTGAGGGTAACGTTTGTGAAGTGCGGTTGTATTTGTGAGGGTAACGTTTGTGAAGTGCGGTTATATTTGTGAGGGGAACATTTGTGAAGTGCGGTTATATTTGTGAGGGTAACATTTGTGAAGTGCGGTTGTATTTGTGAGGGTAACATTTGTGAAGTGCGGAAGTAATTGTGACAGAAGTAACTAATGTAATGAACTACACACATACATTGTATTGACACTAACGTCCATCGAGGGAAATAGGTTGCGAGGCCGGAGTTCATGGAGTGCAGGAAGTAAAAGTGACCGAAACGTGTTAGCAATTTTCTCTACTATGGATGATATTTGTTGATATTGTATACAGTGCATCAAACGTACGGAATTTTTATGTTTTCATTAAAATTTAAACATCGAACCGAGTGTTGAATGTTATTTATTTTTTTATTTTTAGAAAATGATTGAATTTACTCGAACACTATGTACTCACAAATTCGACACCTTTTGGGTAGAAATCCATATCACATATACCTACGACTCTGTTACTCATAATAACCTCTTTTTACTCCGAAATACGACTTTTTGTTGTCGACATGATAATCACTGTGGTGGAGATTAAGACAGGGCTTTATTACCTATTTGCTATATTGAACCTTCATGTTGAATAAATCGAATGCCTTAGCAAGCTCATTTAGCACACACGACTGACAAAAAGTAAGAAAACAAAAAAAGCTATGTTTTTCATTTGAGTCTTGAAAAACAAAAACGGAACTCTGAAAACATATAAAAAATTATGAACAACCCAAACACCATGTTTGACAACCTTCCTGAAATTTGATAGATACCATTAAACTCAAGCATACACAATACAGACACGGTAGTCTAGTGGTAGGACGCCGGGCTCGTGACAGAAGTGTTGCAGGTTCGGGTCATGACATGACACTGCGCTTGTTCCAGTCTAATCAGCTGTAAATGAGTACGTGATTGGGCAGTGCTAGCCGTGAGCGCCGAAATTGCAGGACCGGCTGTATGCTCCCCATGGAATTGAGATATTGGCTGGTTGCAAAGGCCCTATAACCAGGGATAATAATTTGTGAACCACTTTGAGACGACCTACGAACTAGGTTGTGATAAAGCGGTATAAAAGAACCTCGAATTATTATTATTATAGATATAGCTTAATGCGAAATAGCAAGATTCGTACTCAAAAGACAAAGAAACTCCTCTTATCTCGGTGGTAGCAAGATTCGTTCTTAAAAGACAAAGTAGGCATAGAATATCGTTGCAATAAAGATTTGTTCTCAAGAGACAAAATAGCCCCTCATATGTCGGTGATAGCAATATTCGTTCTTCAAAGGCAAAGGTCAAAAGACAACAACAACCGGCTTTTCCTTACCTACATGTAGGTATCAGAAAAATGATTTGGTTTGGGTTGTTTGTGTTTTACGTCTTATTAACAGCAATGATCATTTAGGACGTGCACGGTTTTGGTGGTGGAGAAAAGCCGCAGTTCCCGGAGAAAAACCACCGACCCACTGCCAGTACCTGGCGACTGCCCCACGTACATGTAGGTCTCGAACCCGCGACCCAGTGGTGGAGGACTAGTGGTAGCAGAATGTCAGACGGCTTAACCACTTGGCCACCGCGGAAAAATGAGGTTGATTAATTCCACACACAATAGCTGACTATAACAACCTACCACTACCAATACCCAACTCTTCATCTAAACCGACTCCCACCCAACCCTCCAATCGTAATCAAACTAAGGGTAATGTTTCAAACCTTTCACAAACCAAAAAATGTACATGATTTTAATTTCTTCTATGATTGAATACGATAATACTATTTTCCCAGTAGTATTAATGAATGACAAACGTAGGTCACGCAAGTCGTCTGCACGAATAGCACCACCGTGTTAATGTTTATTGTTTTAAATATGCGACGTTACATTGTAAATAAAATATTCTTGTTTTTCGTATCTCGTATCTATAACATTAAGTAATCGATACAGCATGCCAATAACGGATTACATCGCACCATCCATCTGTCTCGTCCTAACGTAATGGAAAGTTGAAGGGGGAGGGGGGGGGGGGGGGTATAAAACCCTTAATTATAAGATCTTTGAAAAAACGGTTGTTTACAACGCAACAAATGAAATACACTAGTTTAATGAAACTCTTCTAGTACAATTGAACTTTTATCAGAACAGTGGTTTTGTTACGGTTTCTGTATATTGAGTCACTAAACATGACTGATAACAAGCGCTGGTGGGAACCAATCTGTGTTATGGTTACCTTGACTCCATTTATACCTGCCAGTAATTGGTTGTGTTGCACGAGTGGGCATTTGTGCAAGGAAAACAGGAATAAAAAACACGCTATTCCCGTTCAATACACCGGATCAATCAAAATGACATCTAAAACATCATACAATACTTATGAGCACATCAGCAGATACACAATTGATACGGCGTTCTGTTTCGGAATATTTCATATGAGATTTCGAAATAGGATTAGTTTTATTGGCACCTAGAGATAAATACTTTAATATAGAATATTTCCATATAAGGTACATCAACTCAGGTCTCCAAAGCGACATAAACCGATGTGGAAACAACTGCCTTTTTACATATAACAAACATATGGTTTTGATTAGATTGGTCTGGTTAAGTATTCATTTTAGGACACAGGTTTTGATTAGATCTCGTTAGCCAGTGTTATGTTTCTCTGTGTGTAATGACACAGTGTAAGTGGTATGGCGACACTCTGATACCTTAAGCCTGACAATGTACTGCGAAACCTTGTACCTGAAATCTATTCTGGCCTAAAAATACACGTCCGTATAGTGATTTGAACATATTGTATTGCCTATTTTTAGTAGCAATGGGATTGGGCACAAGGTGAACAACTTATATAAAACGCTTTTCCTAAGTATGTGTTTTAAGACAATATTCTGAGTGGTTATACACGTCACAATGTGTTTGAGACTCCGGACGGAAATCATGTCCCGGGGTTTGAATGTATTCAGATAAAGTTCACATGAAATAATTAATTGAAAGTGAATACTCCATTGAAGCTAATATTTGTACATGTACAGCTATATGTCGTGATTGCGCTCACTTTCGCTCACAAAACTAAAGTGAGCATAAATATAACCCCTGGAGTACCGATGTTTGATGGTACAGTAAATGTCTACTTCGTTCGGCTTTTAGTATCGACTCACTAAGTTGTCAAATATATACTTATTTCGTATTCAAGCGATCCTGCGTACGTGACATTACATTTTATTACTTTTAATATAGTCACATTCAGTACACGGCAGGCTAGATCATGCTAGCTGCGTCCTTGTTTGATATATCTAGTGATGATTTGATGCGGACGCTATATTAAACATGATTTCTTCTAATCCGTAGTCATCTGTGGTTTATCGTCGACTATTCATTATTTTGTTAAAATCCAATCGCAATGTTGTAGCATAAAGGAAACACATTTAACACATTGATACTTGCATTCATTAAACAAACACCGTACAGACCTTGGCAAATGTAGTTTTATATATTACGCTTTTAAAATAATTCATTCTATACAAAAGGCTAAAAGGTTGCGACTGTCGTGATGGCCTCCATTTCCGAGATACTGTGATATTTTTCTGCAAAAACCCACCTTTACATCAGTGGCGATCGCCTCGATAATAGTAGCCCAAAGCTGTGACGTCATAAGTTTAACAAACTTGTTCAACATAAATCAATATAAAAGCTAATAAATATGCATATTGCGCCCTTATTTCTGAATACTTACTCCAGAATATTTGAAAACGAAAATTGTCTTCAATATAGACACAGCTACAGAAGGGGTCATTGATAATATTCTAATCGAAAAGGTGCGCTTTAATACTACATTGTGACCGTAACCTACAAGGGTGATATTTCCGTCGTTACGATAAAGTGGAACTTCAGTTTCATTTCTGTTCAGATGACACTTCAACAGAGAAAGGGAGGGGCCTTGCTTTACTTCGTTTGGAAGCTTGTTCCACAAATCAACGGACGACGAAGAAAGGAGGTTTTGTCATGGCATCTCTCGACCATTACAGAAACACAGATTATCTAAAGAAGGAACCGTTTTTCTTTATCATTATAAATAAGCGTACGTAGCATTATTGTGAATAGTTTATAGCAAAACCACTTAATATGAGTCTGATGACGAAATGTTTTCGGTGGCCTTCACTTTCCTAAAAACGCTCTCTTGTACAAATTATCCTGCAATTTATATGATCCACATTCTCTTAATTATTTATATCCTTTAGAAACACGTGTTATTGATTCTAAACATTATTGATTCTTAACAATATGACTGTTCTGTCATCGGGTTGCGTGAAGGACGTCAACATTAGAAATGTTTATCCTGTGATATTTATAATCCTATACACCAGTATATCACCCGAATTAAATAGTTAACCACGCCAGGGTGCTACATGTAATATGCTCAATATCAATTAAAGTAAAAATAACAGTTATCCTTCTAGCGGTGACATACATTTTGTATATTGACTTAAACAAAATAGAGTTAACATTGAAATATCAACAAGATAGCCGGATATTTTGTCGTAACTATCGTTAACTTTTACAGTAATGATAAAGCAACGAGCGATGATATGCTTATCATATATGTATCACCTAACAGAAGCACTCTAGTGTATTGTGGATAACATCAGTAAGACCCCAACCTCCCAGTACAAGTACATTAAAACAGGC